ACTAGTAAGGCACTTGTTACTACTAGTAAGGCACTTGTTACTACTAGCAAGGCACTTGTTACTACTAGTAAGGCACTTGTTACTAATAGCTTCTTTTGATGTAAATGCATCTCGGTTTACCTTCCATGCTCACTTCGGCGGAATTGGAAGACCACCGTTTCACCGGTCGAGACCACCGAGCTCTCGCTCGTTGAAACCCGGAGAACGACGTCGGGCAGACCGAGCTGAGAGGAAGAGAGGCGCCTCGAAGAGGCTTCCACTTAATTGTCTGTAGAAGGCTCACCACTTAGTTGTCGTTTTTTGTTTTTGTCTTGATGATTTTGGGGCGTCATTATGTATCTCCATCCTAGTGTGTGTTGTTGTATCTGAATGGTAGCTTTAGTAGTTTGGTTCGAATGTTCACAGACTACTGGAGATCTTCGGCAGAGTCTTCCCCTCCGCCTTCCTTTCGATTCCATTCAGAACTTCTCGCCCCACTCCTGGTTTTACCACATGCATACCACACATACCAGAAAACACCGGACCCTCCCACACCCTCAAAGTGACCATGCCAGCTCCCGGCGGCGACCTCCGTCGCCCGAAGGACCCGGGTCCGCAGCAAAGGCCGTGGCCCGGTTGGTGAGTTTTGGTGGGGAAGAGGACGTGTGCCTGAAGTTTTCTGGATGAGCGACCGATTGAGATCTATTTCAGAAGGCCCCTGCCCTCGAGCTTTTTGGACGCCCCTGCAGATCAGATGGGATTCTTCGGTAATTCATTGGGGGTTTCCCCCAGTGTGTTTTCGAGAAGTTTGCCTCGCGCCAAGGCTGGACATGATTCGCCAGGGTGTTCCTCGGCACCGTTCGTCCGCGTCTGCACCGTTCGTCCGTGGAAGCTGTGGGTCCTCGGTGGAAGAAAAACCACCCTGCGGTGCCTGGAATTGAGCCTTTTTCGAGCCGTTTTGTTTGGAGCCGAAGGCCGGGGGGGGTTGAACATGCCAGCTTGCGTCAGCTTGGAAGTGCCCTCAACATGATAAACCCGTGCGTGACTCTGAGATCGAAATGGGATACACCCAGGAAGATTCACATGCCAGGAGTCACAAAGGGGTGGTTTTTTGTCCCCAAATGAGTGGATAATGGGCACCCCTATCCTCCATTAAGCACCCCTTTGTGACTGCTGGTGGAACCTGAAAATGGACCTTTGGAAGACGAGCTTCCTCCAGAAACCGGCTTTCAGGTTCCATGATCATCCTTCCAAGCCATGGAAATCCGAGTATCCTTGGCTGTCCAATGACATAAGGAGAATCGTTACTAGGAATGACTTAATTTCAAGACTATATATATATATATACAGTATAGGTGGTGGTTTCCGAATCTAAGACCTGCTAAAGAGCACGGATATCAGGTAGGAAGAGGAGGAAGGTGGGCGAGGTAAACAAAGTTCATGCCGCAGACAACCTCTTGGCAGGCTGTCTTAGGTAACGGTATATTATATCGGAATATCCTTGCAAGCAAATCCCCCTGTCGGAATCTGAGGCAGACAGAGCCTTGATCATGGCCACGAAAATGGTGTACTTGGGGATTCTTGGTTGCAATATATAATTCTCAGCTATACTTGCGGTGTGCGGATTGATACACAAAGAATACCACCCCTTTCCCACTTCGTCGCGTGAGCGTCTACCGTGTACATCCGACATCCTGTACAGACGGACCCTCTTCTCACTGCGTACTCACTGCTCACCGGGTCATTATCGACCCGGCTTCATAGTCATCCTCACTTTTGGGAAGACTCTCCTTGTCAGAATATATCTAGATCGTATGTGAACATGGACGCGAGTTTACATTGCGCTGGACGCTGCGCTGCAGGACTCTTCAAAAGACAGAGCTTCGATCTGCGAGCAGCGCAACGAAAGAGAAGCCACTAGAGCTCAACGCAGCTCAGCTAGTCTCGGGACCTGGGTGTGACCTACTTTTCAGGGAGTCTGGTGACATTCTGTCGCGCATGATTGGCATGTTGCCTATGGTCACGAGATGGTCTTCTAATTCAACGACTGGTGCAATATGCAAGCTATTGCAAGCTGTTCTATTTTTGATTGTGCTTTTGGACTTCTTGGTGAAAGTGCTGTGTTTGGGTAAGGATGGACAGGACAAGTTGATTACTCACCTCACAATCCTTGCTCATCCGCGACCTTGTGCTCGGGTGTGAGGGCCGCTGGTTGCGGGCCGCGACACAGGTTCTAGCCAAAGAAGTGGTGGCAAAAGCGCTCGAAGCCAAAGACAAGAAGGGCAAGCCGATCAAGAAAGACCAGGCGACGTGAAACTGCGCACGAGATGTTTCGCGGAGCTGAAGCGATTTTGGATGGCGGCACATGTTGGTTCCAAATGCATCACCCAAGCTGATTTAGGGTGATTTAGGTCTGGTTCTCCAGGCTTAAATCTACATTCCAAGTTGAGAGAAGCGGTATCCTACCCACAGCGCCTTCAGGATTGGCCGAGCCAATGAATTTCTTCGCTCGGCTTCCGTTCGCTCGCTCGGCTCGAGGTGAATTTTCAAACGGAGATCGAACCGGTGACGGTGAACATCGACTCTCAAGCGCTCACGTCGATCATGAGTGAGCTCTTAATGAACGCCGCATGGCGAACAGCGACAAAGGAGACACGGCCGGAGACACGGTGAAATGAGGTTGAAGCTTGGATAAGAACATGTCTAAATGTGTGCTCAACAATGCCGTAGTGTTATGGCAAATTCGTCATTTGCATAGTCAATCTGTTTTTAAAAGCCATTTCCGTCCAGTGGTGGTGCAAGCACCAACTCATGGGGAAGTTTTGGTATAGTATAGATACGATATACTCAGAAGCACACATTTGTTGATGCTTTCCTCATTCTTGTGTCCCCAAGCAGGAAACCTTGTATATCTGACGATCTCCTTGGTCGGGTGGGGGAACACCCTGGTGGATGGAGATCTTAATCCACTGCACGACCAGCCTCGTTTGCCCATGTGACCCCGCCTCCTTGGTCGGGTGGGGGAAGCGCTGCTATCGCTGCTCCGGAACGCTTCCGAGGCGCTGAAGTTCACGGTGGACGGAACGGTCCCTGGGCGCGGAACACCGGTGGCGGGTGGTGCGGTGGCGGCGTGGGGAACGGGTCTGAGTCGTTGAGTCAAAGGAGACGAGTACGCCCGCCCTCCTCGGAAGCGAACGGTTCATGGGCGACCCATAAGCGAACGGCCATGGGTTCATTACTATAGAGTTAGAGGAGACGAACCCATGAGGAACGCTACGAACGGTCGAGAGGAAAAAGCGAAGAAGATTTGGAGACTTGGAACTCTCGCTCAGTTCGGGAAATGGAGGAGTAGTTCGGTGCGTCTCCTTTTTGGTTCATATCTGAATATCCTATAAGGTACTTCAATGAAAGTTTGTCGACAGAGACTTCTTTGACTTGTGTCCTGTGAAACTGAGAGAACCCTTGAGGAATCCGGCTTTTTGCATCTTTTTTCCACTTCGGCCACTCGCACTGACTGTCACGATCATCCTCTGATCCCCAATCATCCTCCACAGTGACTGCCGGAAGTTCGACTGGGAACTGCATCGAGGCATCGAGCGTTTTGCCAAGGTATGACTTGTTTCTTATCCGTGGTCTGAGACAACTCCAGCTGTATTGGCCAAGGTATGCCTAACAATCAAACAAGACAAGGAAGCTGATTCCATTAAGATCGCTGTAAGTGACACAGGACTGCCCGACAGGCCCGACACGTCGTCGTCACCTCTACGATGAAAAGCGACCCTGTCGTGACTCGTGTCGTCGATAGGTCGATGATGACTGAAGAAGGAGAAATTGAAAGGCTTGTAGCATTGTGTTTTATTAATCACCAACAACTTGCTCTGGCTCTGGCAGAGACGTTTGATTTACAAACATTTGCTGAAGCATCGTTGGCAACAAAAAGTAGCTTCTGCAGCCTCTGTGTTTGAGGAGTTCCAGCCCCACTTTCAACGTGAATAGTCATTGTGGCCGGTTAAAGAAATGCAGGATGTTGTGTGCGTCCGCATGCCATGCAGGACCTGGAATTGAGGCAGAAAAGCTTCCTCGAAGCATGGCAAGCATACAGCTTGGTTGAAGCCTAGGATCTGGTAGCATATGGTAGGATGTGAAAGCAAACAAAGGCTCTTCAAGCAATTGGTTGAGTCTTCACGTTGTTTCAATCCAGAAAGCTTGATAGTTATGCAATGTTGAAGTTGAAAGTTCAAGACCAGTGAACGTCATAGAAAGTTTCAACTATAGCTCCTTTAAGATGTCATCGTTTAACCAGGAGTTCACAGGCCTAGTTCGTCCAAGAAGTTTTCTTTACTTCACCCGTGTCCCTTCCCAACTGTCCAATCGGTTCCGGTTGTTCATGGCGACGGATACGTCCCGGTTCGCTGCGGCGTTGAAACCACCCACTCTCAGTTACCCGGACTGAGATCCCGAGTGGTTTGGTCACTTAAGTCTTGAAAGGGGTCACTGAAGAGGTCACTCCAAAGAGATCGCTCCAAGAGGTCAGCTGGTATGTCGTATTTGCCGATCAGTTGGGGTGGTTGGGGGGGTCAATGTCGGTAGATCTTGACAAATCATGTGTTTCGGTCAAATCTCGTGTGTTGGACGTGTTCGTGTTCGTGTTGTGCTTGTGCTTCTTGTTCTTGTTCTTGTTGTTGTTGTTGTTGTTGTTGTTGTTGTTGTTGTACAATCACCACATGTCCAGGTAAGACAAGGCTCAAACTGACCCGTTTGGGATTCTTGACATCCGAAGGAACCATGCGAAGGATCACTGCCTTCGAGTGGATGCGAGCCTGTGTCAGGATTTCGAGCTGTTTGTTGGGACCGTTCTGTCTTAAAGGTTGGGTTTTTGGTTGTGCTGGGGGGTCCGCTGAAGTGTTGGTGAAAGCCACCAATCGGAGTTCGAAGGAGGATTGATTGCAATGAAGTTCAGCCAGCCGATGAACCTATATAGGATATGATAGGGATGTATGGGCCTGTCCACCCAACAGATTCATTCTTCAAGAGGAGCTTGTTTCATCCAACTCAATTTCCAATTGTTTACTTCTGGAATCGCTTTGGATTCATCCAAGCTGTGACTAGAAGCTATTTCTTCGAGCCATACTTGGTTTCCATGGACATAATATAGGACAGTTATCATAACTTCGTGAGGCGACCATGTACAATATTTACCACGCTGTTTTCCGTGCTCAAATTTTTGAAAGATCCCAGCTTCCCAAGGGCTGATGAAGGCTGTCAATAAGACCGGTCCTGCCAACGGTGCCCTTGACGAGAAGCGCGCGCAAAGCGCGCAAAGCGCGCACGCAACGAGAAGCCGATAGGGGAGATGGTCGGTCTTGTGAAAGGTGACATACATACTTATCATTCCGAATACAAACATGTAAATACTGCCTGATTGGCCAAGTATGTGAATAGTACATGATCGGATTGTCAGGGAGTTGTACAAGTCATTCTGATGTGTTTTTGGTAAAGATCTTCTAACATGTGAGTCAGAAGTTGACATGTTGTGTGTGTGTTATTTGTTTCCGATCATTTTTTGCAATACTTGTCATCAATTCCTTACTTTTTTGGCTTCAAACAGATGGTCTGCCTGATGGGATGGCAGTCTTTGAGTCAGTCTTTGCCATGGAGCTGCCACTGCCACACAACTGTTTTCTGTTGGCCTTCCTTCTTTTGATGATGCTTCTTGCCCTCAAAATACAGATCCAAGGCGTCACTTATGGCCTCACTTTCTCCACTGTTCCAGGGCAGGCCACACCAAGTAAGTAGGGGGCAGAAGCTGGTTTGGTTCCCAGATACTGAACTGGAATATTTAGGTATACAGTGGGGTGGATGATATTGGATGATCAATGTAAAACGTTAAAATTACCAGCCCCATCACTGATGTCTTTATGTGTGGCGGGGGGGCGTTCTACACCACTTCAACTGGAAAAGACTCCGGTCGCTTCGACGGCTACCGAGACGTTGGACTGGGCCTGGCCACCGTGAGCGAAATCTTGCGGATCTACGGCGGACGCTGCTCGGCCGGGTTCGAGCGAGCGACCAAGAGGGCGGAAGGGTATGAATCTGAGTGACTGGGAGGTGGGCCGGGCCTTTTGGATGGTAGACATGGAAGGTAAACATGGAAGGCTCAGTGGAAGGCTCCTGAAAATAGAAACTGCTCTGAAGAGAAAAACTCCCAAACAGTGCATCTACCAGTATTTGTTAAAAGATCGCCAGTTGTTCCATTGTGGCACTCTTTGAGTCTAAAATAAGGTGATGAGTTCCCCAGCAGCGACTGGAGAAAAGCCTTTTGTTCTGCGATGTTTACTTCAGGATGGGTGGTGTGTTGTTACGAGGTAGCCTTTCCGTTTCTCTTGTGCGGTGAGTAGTGAATTTATTAGGGAGATCCCCAATGCATGGGGGTTCGGGCTCTATACTAGGTGTTCAACACATAGCATCAAACCCGAATAAGACAGGCCATAAACACAAGAAGAACACCTTACAGAATAAAAAACACCAACAATGTTTTCTGAAGAACACCTTACAGAACTCCTGACAGAAGAACAACAATAACACCCATAACAACCATGTTTTGTTTCGCTTCCAGACCCGTCAGATCGAGCGACACCGACCGACACCGACGAAGGAGAAGACCGAAATCTGTTCCGCCACGGACCCCGAGGCTTCGAGCTGAAAGCCAATGAGCCAAAGGGCCTGGTGGCTGCGGCAGCTCGACCAGGGGGGGGCATGGTACGGTACGGATGGTACGGTCGCTGATAGGTGTGATAGGTCAGGGTGGATGAGTGGTTGGGCTTGAAGATGTTCAGAGATGTTCAGGATTTGGTGCACATGATACAGGATTTGGAGAAATGAACGCCATCATATGGGCAAATGGATGTGGGGTTTGGATGTTGGATTGAATGTAATCTTTGATACACCTGTAGCTGCTGTAGCTAAGATTGCTTTCAAGGGTATCCTGAAGCAGCAGGACTCATACCACTAGTCACCCAGCCAATCAGTGGACAACCTTTAACTTTTTTGGGGGGGTTGCTTTCCCTGCATGTTTCCCCACTTAGAATAGGCGAAACCAACAATGGCCGATGGAACCCTTCTCTCTTCGTTTTACCCCAACTCGGCACTTGTCTCGGACCTTCCAGGCACCTCCGAACTCGCACGAGTCGACCCCGGTGGCACAAAAACCGGTGGCACCGGTGACCGAGGTCACGCTGCCGCGGACGCCACCGAAGTCCCAAGGCCTGGAGTTGGAGCCCCGCACCAAGGCGGATGGAAGGACGGAAGGACGGGGACCAATGGACCGGACCATTGGACCGGTGTTTTGGGGCGTTGGAGGAGTGGACCATTGGGGCGTTGGACGGGTTCAAGCGTTTTTACTTTCAAGAGCTGGTTGACCAAGTTGACCTGTGGCGCGCTCGTTTGGCAGCTTGAAGAAAAAGTCTAACAGACTTGAACAAAGCAACCCGAACGAAGCACGTTAAGACTAGTCACAAAATCACTTCCCAAAACACATGCTCCATTTCACCCATTGGCCATCCGAATTCATCGCACCGTTCGCACGTGTCGTCGCCGGCACTTGCGCTCGTCGCCGGCAGGTGCCTTTGCCCCAAACGCGGCAGCGTGGCACGACCTCGTGGCTAGGGCCCAGCAATCAGATCGGATCCTCGGTCCAGCGAGTGGTCGAGGAGTGGGATAGTGGCGGGGTTCGAGGGGTGGCGTTGTTTTCGGAAAAAGGCTCTCCAGGTGGGGGCAGAATACATGAAAGGTGCATATACAATATAGTCCGGGGTTCATATGAATGTCATAGATTGCCGGATTCTATAGCTCACATTTATGAATATTCCTGCTTCTGTCGACAAGATCTTCGTAGCTCATAGTCCAAGTCGGTCAAGTCGCGTCATGAGACCATTGACCTACCTCCAAAAGGATCGAGACACATCCAATATGGCATGTGGTAGGCCAACCATACCTTTGTTTCACCAGCCCATGAACTTCTTTCACCCTTTGCAAGCTTGCTCAGCCAGTGCGCTCTTTGCCTTCCATTTTGATACGGACACATATAGCTGTGCAAGCTGAGAAGTGAAGCACTTGTGTCAAAGCAGCACTTGTCAGCTGGATGAAGAAAGTCGAAGCGGGGAAGAAAACATGAAGTACTTTCCTCACAATAGGTGGACTCCCTGGAATCATCATCGAAGTGGAAAACCACCCATTCGTGTTCATGCCCCTTCCTCATCTTCTGGCAGCCTTGCCTTGATATGACCAGACCGCGACGCAGCTCAGGAATTCCCAACCTCATCAATCCTGCTGGCATTGCAGGCGGAGCTGGACTGAACATGACTGAAGCATGTTAGAGCATGCTACTGAAGCATGTTGTAACAGCCTATACCTATACCATGTCATGTTCAGAGTCACGGATGTCAGCCTATAACATGCTTGTGGATTCCATGGACCCGTTTGTCGGACCCCAAACAGGTCGGACGGCTTCGTCTTTGCCTTCTTTGAAGGAGATCGGACGGTTTCCGGGGGGTCTGCGGGCCGGAGCGGTTTTTGTTGTGGTGCATGGTGGGCTTTTGGGGAGGTTACATAGAGTCCTATATAGAGACTCCAGCAGGACATTCTGCTGGTGGATATGTTTAGCATGAGTTGGAGCGGAACTGCAATCGGGTCCAACGAACTCGATGGGATCGGTCAGCTCGATGTCCCCGGCTGCTGAGATCAGCCAGAACAGCTTTGGACAGAAGAACTTGCTGAAGCACACCGTCACCTGATTTGAGATGCAGTGACTGGGTATGATGTAAAGAAAAAGGATGCTGCAGTCATCCTCAAGCAGCGAGGATGTACATTTGAGATATATATGACAAACTCCGTTTTTGGAATATCACATCTTCTGTGCATGATCCTGCCAACAGGAAGTGTGAACAGGGAAGAGTTTCAGCTGTTTTGTTGCTTTCAGAGAAGGGCTTCTTGACTGGCCATTTGGCACCCTGCTGCGGTAATTTCCGGCTCCAAAGTCCAAACAACTCCTTATCCTGACTCTCGAGCAATCCTCGAGTGCTCCAAGGTATGTTCCTGATGCTTTCAATGTTTGGTTGCATCACGGCATTTCCCAGCACTTGGGTACATCATCTTGAGACTCTCCAAATACTGTCAAAACGAACGTTCCGGCCAAATTTCAGGGAAGGGCATAGACCTCTGACCAACCTGCTGTTCCGACCTCTGATCACAGTTCTGCGTCTCTCAGTCTACATCCACCTGTCCCTCGCAGGAAGACCCGACCTCCTTGCTGCAGGACCCGGTGCTTCGAACTCTTTGGTCCGATGGTCAACTCGTTGGTCTTTGGGGGTTGATTCAGATCCAATGCCGGATTCTTTGGTCATGTTCGTGATTGGTCAAAAACAGGGGCTGACGGTCGTGGCTTCCTCACAAATCACAAACAACCACCTTGTTTCCTTTTTGGGGATGTTAGATCCACAGGAGTTGAAGACAGAAGAGCTTTTGCTTCTGTTGGGATTTTGGATGTGTGTTTCTTCTGTTTGGGACTTACTTCCTTTTGCTACTTCCTGCCTTCTAATTAGGCTGCTTGGAACTTGATGGCTTCGTTGCAGGTATTCGCACGTTGGGACCCTAAGTATCCTAGGAATGAAGGAGCAAGTCTTCCTATTTCAGCTGGAAGCATGTGGAATCGCAACCGTCCACTCAGAGACCCCATCCATAGGTTTTCCACACACCCATTCAGTGCAACAACCAAGGAGTATAGACATTGGAGGTGAACAGTTGCCCACCAACCAAATGTTTTGCTTCGCAGATCATTGGCAGATCCTTAGCAGATCCAGGATGAGGAAGAGAATTTGATCATGAGCGTCGATGATGACTTTGTAAATCAAGAAGTCATGCGCTCGATCCTGGAGCCATGCGGTTTTAAGCCTTTTGGACAGCAGGGGAAGACGGATGTTTGCTGCTGTGAGCGGTTGCCAGGAACAGTGTTGGCCAGCTCGAGTAGGACTTGATTTTGCCATGAAAGAGGGTAGAAAGTGTTTGATCTGCATAACAATGAAGGATGCCAGCTCAGGGAAGTTGTTCAGATCTCTTACTGGTGACTGAATGAAAGATTGTCAACTCCTCTTTAGCCATGGGAGTCAGTAATCCAAATTGAATTGGTTGGCAAATGGGCGACAGGTTTCCATGTGTACGGGTAGGGGAAAAACACGAACCAGAAATATGAACAAACCTACTAATCAACCAAGATCACAACCAACCCAACCCAACCCAAGCCAACCAACGATTCAACCACCCAGGGTCTGCCATGGCCGTTTTTCAAAGCACTCCCATCCTCAGATGCCTGAATCAGGGTGGTCTCTTGCATGAACGGATCTGAATGCCTGGAATATTTTGATGGAGACAACCCGCGGCCGCGCTTGGTGCTGCTGGACACCTGGTCGAATTTCGCTTCTGGAGACTCGTGTCGAGAGGCACACGACGACGTCGTAACGTCGTAGGGTCCGTTTCGCTCACCTTTCACTGGACGATCCCCCCAATTAGGTCCATGAATTCAGATGAATCCAGATTTGTCATGACTGGAAGACTGTTCCCTTTGCAGAAGCCTCTAGGCTGCAGGGACCCACAGAAGCATGAAACCATACTGCAAACAGATCTGACTTCTTTTAGACATGGTGGCAATCCTTATGTGCGAATTCCGACGTCGGCTCTTCTGAGGGAGGGCCTTGGCCCATGTGAAGAAGCATGTCGAAGTCGCAGAACGCACAAGCATCATGCGATGATCTTGTCTTGTTCGAAAGGTTTCTGTATCCAAAAGAATGGTTAGTAAAAGGTGAGGCCCTATAGGCTTCCAACAACCATTGATTTAATATGATTTATATAAGGTATTATAAGGTGTTGTTTTCACCGAACAACCATTGATTTACCCAGGAATTTACACTACAACCAGGTCAACCGTTCTTTTAAAGGTCTTGGGTGGGCTAGGGCCAGGGTGCATGCTGGTGCTGAGGATTTGATGATGCCGGGCCTGAGTGGTTTCGATGTGCTACAAGCAATGCAGAAGAAGACGAGCCTGCTGGAATTGCCGATCCTCATCGTGTCCGCCGGGGGTCTTAGCAATATCCATTCGTTGAACCAAAGCATCGTAGTCAGAAGTCATAACTGTGACTTTGGGATTTCTGATATAGATAGATATATAGATCGATAGAATAGATATACATAGCTAAATATGATAGATACATAGGAAGCAGGGTTGCTCAACGTTTCACACAAACGTTCTGGAGCTGGACCCCTTACGGGTTTCTCACTCCAGAGACCGACGAAATCGTAGAAACTACGGAGACCGTAGAAGGTCTGCAGACCAAACGTGCGGTGCCATGAAGGACAACGGTGATCGCCGAGACGGCAGACCGGTCATACGATGGGAGCAGGCACCGAGGGGCAGAAGACAACACGCGGGTGGTCAGCGGGTGGTACCAAAGGCTGTTTGCCGGAGGGAAGTGAATGACTACGAACGGAGCAAGGACCTTACTACTTATAGTAACAAGCTACTTGAAACAAGAATTAAAAGTAAACGATTCTTCTTACAGCTGCAGCTGGAGTGTCTTCCTCGCCAGCTGGAGTGGACCACTTGTGGATCATCATTCTGCTGAGGCCAAAAATCAGTCCAGCTCGGTCATGAAGGGCCTCTTGGCCGCAGAACAGACCGGATGGCGGAGTCGTGACATGTCGTGACAGGTGTTCTGACCTGGAGGGGAAGTGGTTTTTACATGTGTGTTTGTTTCTATCTGGCGGGCGATTGAGGGGAAAACTGGGAGACCTCTGAGATTCTCTTGGCTTTTGCTAATATATATAAGTAGTAGGGTGATGAATTTCATGATATGTGTTTTCTATTTTTTTGGTCCTGGTTTTCGGGTGAATCCATGTGAATCCTCTTCATTTGGGGGTATTGGTTGTTGTTGTTGTTGTTGTTGTTGTCCCTGGTTCCTGGTTCGCAAATCCTCCAATCCGAGCTATTTCCTTGGTGATTTGCCCATTTTGCTATCTCTCTCTCTCTCTTTGTTTCTCTCTCTCTCTCTCTTTCTACTCTACTCTGAACCTTTGCCACCTCTGCGAGGCTATGAACTCGGCTGCCGCGACTGGATTCACAAGCCCTTCTGCCGTCAAGAATTGATTGCCCGCGTCAAGGCGCCCTCCTTGAGCCGCGGAACAAACGGGCTCGTCTGGGTGGACGACGAAGACTCAGAAGACTTGAACGCAACATACTGTCAGTGCGCGCACCTTTTTTGTTCATCCAATGATGAGGAAGTATCAAAGAATTGATTGATTATATAGTTTGATTGATTGTCCAGCTTGTAGCTAGCTAAGGCTATACTAGATTGAAGAAATATACCTGCACTATGTGACTATGTGTGTGGAGCACCCATACCGAAGCTTGAGGGATATATATATATATATCACCAAATGACCCCGGCAAGAGGTTTTGTGCGCTTCGGTGTGGCCATCCACGGTGTGTTAACAGTGGTCATCGACGCTCGACGCTGGGTTCGCCCCGTGCAGTCCCATTTGAAGATGCGCTCGACGCTCTTGAGACGCTGGACGGCAGAGGGGCGAAGAGCTACCGGCGGCATTGCACCATCGAACTGCTCAGTAATGATTCGGACGCGACGAACGGGGCGCTCCTGGCGTTACTATATATATATATATCTATAGAGTAACAACAACTGGACGCTACGAACGGAACATGCACAGGGCATCGCTAGGAACGAAGCGATCGGAGGCGAATGACGAATTTAGTTGCATTTTATTGCTATCAATCACCCCTTGATTATCAATGAGCTGAGCAGCTCTATAGCTGATGGTTTACCTGTTGAATTCCATCGCCAAGGTGGTTTGGTTTCCCTTGAAACGACACCTTTCCGTCTCCCCGCGTCGCTTCCGTCCTGAGCCCCCCCCTGCTCGCCCGCGGCAACGGCCTTGCAGCCCTTCACCGTTGATTCGAAGGGACAAATGGACAGACCAAGTCGTTCCAGCAGTCCTTGCAGCAAAGAATGCATCGTGAGTTCTTGGACACAAAAACATGCTGCCATCATCGGCCTACAAGGATTTCTGAGCACATGTTTTAAGGGAATCGTTTGCTTGCCTTTGAAGGTCAAATTGTCCTTTGTATTCCTTTATCATACTAAAAATTAGACAACATGCTAAACCAAAGATTGTTTGGGCGCTGATTCTCATCACCCTCAACAACCCCAAAAACCCTGTCGCCTTAAGACCAACACCTCCCTTTACAGTAGCGGTGGTACTCCGAAAACACCGAAAACACCGCGCCGACCGGTCACACGCACGCGGACCGGTTTGAGGCTATCGCCTGGCGGCCAAGAAAGAGGCACATGAGGCGCGGTTCGGCGCCACGGACCAAGCGCTGCAGACCGCGCGGTTCGGCCTTCGCCTCAAGAGGGCCCGGTTTCGCGCTGGTTCATGTCGGTTCGAAGCACGGCGACGCACTGCCGGCACTTGTGCGGATCCGCGGGGAGCTGGGCGCGTGGTGTTTGTTATTGGAGCTCGGAGATGTAGAGATCCTTTTTGGGCGGTTCTGGGGGGAGCGGGTGAAGGCGAGTCAAGGCCTTCAGAGGTGAAGATGAGGATGATATGGAGAGTTTTGGTTTCCTGTCAGGTGAGTCACTCGATCCCGGCGAGGTTTCCAGCAGTTTGGTCCAGTTTTCCGTGAATGGCGACGAACCTCAGCACTCTATAGCTTGATAAAATACAGATTGTTCGACATGAAAACATGTCATCAATGGTTGTTGGAAGCCTAGCATATACCTGGATCTTCCAACTGTCCAACAAATTCTGCCGGTTTTTTAGATCAATAGGCACAAATTGTACATCGTTGGAAGATCTAGGTATGCCTAGTACATCGTTGCAATGATCTCGAAGTGCTGTGCTGGTCAGGAGAATGATTGTGCCTTGAGCGATGCCCGGATGCCCGTTGCGGGGGGGTGAAAGGGGTGGTGGCCCCTGGGCCACGAGCCTCCTGGCAGAGGAGAGGTAACAAGACGAAGGACTTGCTCTCCTGGAAGCAAGCTCAAAGGCACCTGGTGGTCATGTTCAGTCCTCATCTTTTGAAGCGTGGCGCCCTGCCGGACTAGGGAGTGGGTACTCAGGGTACTCCCTCTTTTTCAAGTATGAGTACCTGAGACTGACACTAGATTCTTTCAGTTCAATTGATAAGCTGTCCTCAGATGCTTGGGTTCTCTCAAGTATTGGGCTTCTCCCAAGCACACAATGCCACAATGCGCAAGAATTGTTTGGGGCTTGGAGCTGGTTGAGCTTGTTTGGAGGTCTTGATAAAATATGGGTCCGTGTGTTGTTTGCTGAGCGGGGTTGGTGTTTCAGACATTATCCTTGTAAGTCCTTGTCGATCAACAGATCTACAAGTCTTCTCCTGGCACTGCTGGCAGTTGGCTGAAGAAAAGCAAGACAACAGCTTTGTGACAGGCGCGTGGGTGCTGAGCGAGGACCAGTTTGATGCAACGCTGGTAGGAGGGCTGTGCAGAATGTCAGCTTTTCATGTATGAAAGGAGCGTGTAATACTTGTTTGGCAGTCTGGTCCTTTCTAAGGCATCGTGCAATTTGGGCCACTGATTGACAACAAATATCATCAAAAACAGACAAACACGTGGGCATTTTTGCATTGTAATGGATAAAGGAATGACCCTTGGGGAAGCAGTTTGAGGGGGCGGATTCCAGAACTTGAAATGAGTAATGCCTTTGGAACAGCACATGTTGCTTGGTCAAGGCCCAGCTGACACCACTGTGCTCTTCGCGAATGTGGTCCCTTGGAGGAGCGTTACGCCCTGGTTCCGGGACCCACATGGAACCTGAAAAGCACGTCGGGTTGACCACAGGTCGTTGTGGGACTGTGTTTCCGGTGGTTCAGCGCGGGTCTAGCAGCTTTGCACTTCGGGTGGTTCAGCACATGATCTTCATGTGATTCCTCAGCAGATTTGGTGCTAAGATGTTCTGCTCAAAGAGTTTGGGCATCTTGGCCTTAGGCCATGTGGTAACCATGTGGTAGAACGGAAGAAGTGGTTGTCCACCTTCATCCCGGTATATATCTTATAGAGACTACAATTGATTCGTGCAAATCATTGTGTCACCATCAGTCTGATATTAGTGATTGACCAGGACCTTCAGTGCATGACTTTTGAAGACGACGTCACGTGACACTCGGCCATCCTGCGATCTCGGTCACGAAGATCGGCAGATAGTTAGAGCACCATAGAACATCACCCAGACACTCCATGGGACTAGTTCGAAGGTATATATATATACATGCCGCATACATTGACCCCAGGTCAACCACCCCAACGGATCGGTAGATATGTCATACGTGGGAGTGTTTTGTTTGTTTGTTTTCCCATGTGCGCTTGCCGATTTGGCCGTAGCCGATTTGGCCGCAGGCACCCAATTCATTATTCATACATCCGGTTGAAAGAGTGTCTGGGTCATAGAACAACAATTGAACCCATCCTTACATATGCCCTCAGTGGATCCAGGCAACATACTCTTCGCTGGGGCTCCCAGTGGTTCCGGACTCTTCCAAAGACCATAGTGCCTTCATGGGATCCACTGAAATAGAGCGATATGCATCGATATGCATCATCCCCAAAAAAAGACAGCAACACGGTTCCAACATGGTGTATACCCCCATCTCTGAGTGCCGTGGGTTTCGGTGTCTCCACATCCCTCCCTGGGGGCACCCAAAACTGAGCGCTGAGGCTGCAGAGGGCTCGGTCGAAGGCGCTTGAAGTGGGTTTGGTCGGGGGCGGGGTAGGTGGGCCAAGCCTGGCAGGTCCAAGCCGGCAGGGAGCAGGGAGCGAGCGAGGGCAATCCGGAGCTGGGGGGAGTTCCCCCCAACTTCTTGCTAGGTTTATATAAGGCGTTCCAAAGGTGCCCGGTGGGACGGGGAAGCCCTTGGCGGAGCTCAGACGTTCCATGTTTTCTGTGTCAAAAAGAAGGTGGTCTTTCAGTCACGGTGGGAGAAGGTAGTGGAGAAGGTCGTATATATCGTTCGAAGAATGCACAAAAATACCCAAGGTTCGATGAAGATGTAATATGAACATCTCTGACCCACAAAATGCCTCCAAATACCCGGGTCAGACCGAGCAGTCTGACCCGCTCTCCCCCCGCTCTCACCGGGTCAGACCCGGGCGCGCTGACGACGCGCCACGGCGCGCCACGGCGAAGACGGGTCGCGGTGCGAGCCGAATCGGATTCTCCAGCGGTGTGGCTGGTGGGGATGAGCACCTCCATGAAGCCTTTATGCATGACTGTATACATATAAGAAGATAATAGGCCATCTATCTTTATAAGGCAGGGGTCGGAACCGATCTTTATAAGAAGATGAGCTTAGCCATGCTTTTCCAATCCAGATCAATCAAGATAGTTTCCGGAAGTTCCGACCCCTGCCTTTGGCTAGAAGGGAGCTTCATCGTCCCAGGACTCCATTTGTAAACTTCTACGTACATGCACAGACTTCTCAGATGCTAGAATCTTCTATATCATGACCCTCCAACAGGTCACCACTTGCGACGTGTAAGTCTCCAAAAAACCACCAGAGCTCGGAGACCTGTGACCTGTGATTAGAGGTCAGATGTCCTTCTATGAAAGGAAGACTCCTCCTTCTCACCCCAAGGCCCCCCTCCCAGCGGCACCAGGCGCACGCGTCCGCGCTCGACCCATCCACGTACTCGCCTCCACCGGCACGGCCGAACCCGAACCCGAACGGAACCGGTGAGCGCCCGACCGCTTTGGCCGAAGGCATGGCTTCGGTCTTCGAAGACTTCGAGCGCCACAGCCGGCAGCCGCTTGATCTTTGTCCGGTTCCAGTCGTTGGTTGGAGCGCTCCGTCTTCCGTTTTGCTTGGAGCTCGGTATCTATGGGGCTAGATCTCCAGGGGAGAGATCCCAAAGCAGTTATGGTTTTGAATGGCGAAATGGTATGTTTGAGATTTGCAATAGCTCTTTGATTTTCTTTGTATGCCTGATATAATCTGACATACATGCTATCATTCATTTGGACTCCCTCACCCTAACTCACGTTCCAGCACCGAGACATGCACTATACAATATTAGTCATCATCATGGCATACTCATTGACTTCACCACCTGCTCATAATATGTTTTGTGGAGCTTCACCGCCATCTCCGTGTTTGCTTTCATTCCCCACGTCGACCTGAGCCCCACATACCTGGGGAGGGAGGGGGGGAAGGCATCCAGCTAAAGCTTTTGGGAGCGCTACTTTCTTGGGGGGGTCTTTCCTTAAAGAACCCACTGCCACCTCCCACCGTGGTCCCATCGTGGTTTTCCCCCGATCTCCATCCTCAACCCACCGTGGCCCTGCGCCGGTCTATCCATGACATCCCACATGGGGTTCCCACCGATGCACATGCCTCCGAGGCACGAAGCCCTCCGCACCGTGCCTGGGCCGCCGTACATCCAGTGAGTCTGAACATGGGTCATGGTACATCCAATGTCATGAAATTCTGCCTAAGTCTTTCGGTGCTTTTTGGGATCCAGGCCCACTTTTCCAAAAGACCCTGAAGGGTAGGGCGCTGCTCAAATGGAATGACCCGACTACTGTTGAAAACACCTGTTGTAAGAGTGTTTGAAGAGAAGCTTGCTGTACTGTTGTGTCCTCTTCCAGTGTAGGGCTTTCCATCTCTGTATGTTCATCTCTGATGCTTCTTTTGATCGAACATGCTGGAAACCAACTGAAATTCCATGAGGCACCCTCACACCCTTTGCTGCGAGCAAGCAAGGCCCAACTTTTATCCGTATACCTTCTAACATTTGACCTGGAAGGAAGTACTGTTGAAGTCTTTGGTTACTCCACTTTAAAAGGAGGTGTACGCTAGCGAGTCATTTACTGGACTGGATATATTATTAGATTTCATCCACTGGCTGCAGGATTTTTTTTCTGTGAGCTGCGCAAAGAGCCCTTTCTATAGCAAAGCTTGCTGCTTAGACTCTTAGAGACCTCGGCGCCACATCCCCGTGCCCTTAAGGAGGTGTTTGGCAGCTCCTTGGGCCGCATGTGCTGAAGACGCGGTTCGCGAATGAACTGACGCCTCGATCCTGCAAGACTTGTTTGGGGTGCCACCCCCTGTCACACTGAACAGAAGAAAACCAGAGAAAAAGGTTGAAGTTAGATGAATGGAGCATACTAAGTAGAGCCCAGTGGTTGTTTGATCTGGTTATGCAAGGTCTGTAGAGGTGGAACAGGAATCAACCCGGAAAAAGAGCCCAATGCAGACACGACTAATGGGACTGCCAACTTTGCCAACATTGGGGTCGTTTCGGGGCTCGGCCGGCACATATACTCATAATCCATCCGTGCAGTGTTTGGGAGACGTCCGCGGCTTTTCCGGTACACTCCGAAAGACACGCGCATGCTGTCACAGCAAGCGGCAGCATTGGGGAAAGCACACAGGTCAATCCGATCCGTTCCTGCATTTCTCAAACGGTTTTGTGTCCGCTTCTATGTTGGTGAGAAGGAGTGTTGGTCTCTCAAACTCGCTGGCAGGCTGACAGAACACCAACATCAACAGTGAACGGAGGATTCAACACATATATACACAATCCTCCAAGCCCGCAACACCATTTGGTCTCTTAAAACATAAAAAGGAACAATATAAATATTTCACCTTGAAAACACAATACTCCGACAAAAGGTGAAAAGGTGGTATTTCTGAAAACAGTCTTTCTTTCTTCCAAACGCTCACACTAGCACCCACTCGCCCGGACACTCTCGGCCATAGAAAGCGCCGGAGCCGGGAAGGCACCTATGTGGCCATCGCCATGGGCTCGGAGGATCAGACCTTTCACACTGTCCCTCCCCTTGGGCAGGGTGGACGCGGGCGTGGTGGGCGCGGCTGGGCGTCCGCTGGGCGTCCGAGAAAGACCTGGCGGTGGGAGTAGTATATGTTAGTAAGAAGGTCCAAAGAAGAAGAAACAAAGCAAGAATAAACATGTAGCATCATCACTGCGAGCTTGCAGCTGCATCGATGTATAGGCGTTTTCGTGGTTTGGACCTCTCAATTTCCACATCCGGGCCTTGATACGTGAAGGGTTGTGAACGTTTTTCGTGAGTCGTTTGTATAGGGTAGGCCTTCAGGTCCTTAGATAGGTAGCGTTGCCAATGCAACTTGCAATGGTTTGCCATGGTAAGTTGCCTGGTACCAACTAAATGACATAAAATGACTCACAGTCTCCCTGGTGATGGAACAGCTTTGGCTTTGGGGGGAAGGAATCCCCAACGACCCGGGTTTGCGGACCCGAATGCCCGATGCACCGTGTGTTACCGTGTGGTCCACAGAAGTCACTGAGGACAAGCTCCTGCTGTTGGCTTATGATCTCCTACAGACGACTCACAAGGTGTGCTTCGAGGTGGTGTTTGGTGTCCCGAGATTACAGCTCTGCTCTCTTGTGTCGTCTCAATGTTGATCCATATTTCAATGACATCAGGCCATAAGGCATGCATGGAGTGGAGTGCTCGGTGCTCCGTGGGTACCTATAGCACTTGACATCTCAGATCGGCCTGGGCCTTCTGCCAGGCAAAGTTCTCTGTGAGTATCGGCCTTCACTCCGTGACCTGGAGTGAAGGCGCGAATTGTCTTTTGGATTCGTGACCGGTTCGGCGTTCCGAACGACAATAAGAACCACCAAGGCTTAGAACTCTTGAGTCCCCCCATGCCTCCCATGTTTCAATGCTGCTGATTGGACTTCTGACATGTGCTGACATGAATGGCTTTGTTTCTGGTGTTAAGACCAAGCTTCATGCGAGAACATTGAAGTTGGGGGGTCAAGGGGATTGGAACGGTGACTTGGAACAGCTCTTGCAACGGCTGCTTTTTGAGGAAGAACCCGGTAGGTCCATTTCCCAGCAGCATCCCCCTGCAGCTCCAAGAAGTAGATCAGGCCCAGAGTGGAGGTGCCTGCCAAGTGCAAAGACCAAGCATGAGACCAGATATCCGACCCTTTTGGGTGTATTATATAAAAGTGAAGTCGTTTTAATCTTGTTTTTGTTTGCTTTCCGGTCCATCTCCAATCTCTCCATTGGGATTCTCTCCATTGGGTCCGTGGATCAAAACAGTTCATCGAACGCCTCGTGCCACCGCGTCATCGAAGGCTTTGATCCGTCCCCACGCGACGGAGAGACCCGCGTCGGAGAGACCGCGAGACCGCACCGCCGAGGAAGTCGCGACGCCGCGCACGGTGACGGGGCGGCAATATCCGAAGAGCAGCTTCTTCAGTAGCACGGTGCAGACCGCAGCTTGGAAGTGGGAGTGTGGAAGGTGGAGCCCGGGGAGGTTTGGGAGGTTGGGGAGGTGTGGGGGTTTGTAATTACTGTAAATGGAAGATTCAGTGGGGCCCAAGGGTTTTAGGATGTTTTAGGCTTCTTTTGCGCGCTCATGAGAGGGGTTCATTAGAGAGGAAAAAAGAGAGGCTGTTGCAGCGTGCCCTGCTTGGCGGTGAGACATCGTTATGGACTGCGGTTGGGAAGTGAGAGCTTGGTATGGATGTTGCAGTGACTGCAGGGCTTCTTCTTATCGGTGCGTGGTACTGCAGGAACTGAAAATGATACGATTAAGTAACTGGTCACACAGATTATGTCACTTTTTTTGTGTTTGATCTATCAGACAATACACAAGGAACGTATTGGCAGGCATCACACTCACCAGCAGGTGCAAACAACATCCAGAATAATTAGGTGCAGAGGTTCTTATGGAAGACATGTGGAAATATACAAGGAATCTGTTTGTCAATCTTCTTATAATAATTACCATCCAGCACCACCCAAAAGGGTTGCATTTGCACACACCTCTTGTTCCAGCCACACCACTGCTCGCCACTGAAAACCGGCTGTGCTCCTCCGTTTGAGGCCAAGAAGTTATCGGAAGCCGCCGCTTGGGCTTCGCGGGAGTGGAACCATAGGATCTATGCAAGGTCACTGCGGATGTTTCGTGGGTCACAGTGTTTTGTTTCGATCCGGCCTTGTTGGGCACTGTGAGGTCACAGTCGTGTTTTGATGTTTGTTCATTGTTTAAGAAGAAGAAGAACTTCCCAACAAAAGAACGGCTTTTTCATTTTGATTCCATACAGCAACATGTGTGGTTGCTTTTGTTCGTGATGTTTGTTTGTTTTCTCGGCTCTCAATTGGATGTTGATTCCAACAAATCCTATTTTTTTTTGACATGCATGTCAACCCCGGTCTTGGTCCTGCAAGAAGTCTTCAGCGACTGCCTGCTTCCACGCGCCATCAATGCCGCGCCATCGGTTTTGAGGCAGCGGAGAACCGGATCTTGTTGTCTCGCACGGCACGGTGTCGCTTGAGCGCCGATGTGGAGGCGCCATGTTTCGGGGGGGCCACGGCGGGGGAGAGGTGTTCTTTTGGGGATGGCGAAGGTAGAGGCACTGTTAGGTGATGGGGTATGGTGAGAACATGTAGGAACTTTGCCAACTCGAGATTTGTTTGTAGTATATGTGATGTGTATATCAAGAGATATACAGAGCAACCCACACTGGGTCACTGGGTGAGTTAATCGTTATTGATATCCTTGGTTGGTGAATTGGGCAAGTGAAAAAAAAGACACACCTACGTTTGAGAAGCCTCAGAAGGATTTGTTTTCCTTGCGTGATTCCGTAGTGGATTTGCCAAACTATGCCAAACTGCAAAAACAACAAATCACATGAACAAAGAAGATAAACACACGTTTGAATACGATGTTTCGTACCGAAAAACGGGGCGTGCCTTTCGAAGCACCGCAACTGGTGCGTTTGGATCGGTCTCCGCCTCGCAACTCGCTTGCTTCGGCGGTGGCATCGCGAGGCTGAGCTGCAACTGCAAGGTTTGCAACTCCTGGAGGGTGATGCCAGTGCTTGGCTGGGAGAGCAACTTGGACCACTGAGATCTGTTGGATCTGTTGATTTCATGGAGGATTCTTGGATTCCGTTTAGTTGTTCTGTTTAGATCTGTTTAGACGTTCGAGGCATTTTTGGGTTTCGGGGCTTGGTCTCCCCTCCTTGCAGGGGTTGTTGCTTGGAGTGTTGCACGGGTTGTGCACGGCTGAAAAGGAGTCGGGAGACGATAGGAAGAGCAGCTTTGTTTTGATCATTTTGGGCAGATTCCCCTTTTGTTTGATTATGTGCCTTAGTGTTTGGAAACCGTTTGCCGACCAATGATGCAAGTGATGCTGTCCTTGAGAAGTGAAACCCTTAGTATGCCTACTGCCAGTTGATCATTTGTGGGACTAGAACGTCATTACTTCAGATTTCTGGTAGCAAACGATCAATTTCTAACACTGACTAAGACCAATGCTGGGTCAGTAACGCTGATGTCTGGTCCCACGACCCAGCCGCGATGTCACACGCGATGTCACACGCGATGTCACCGCGTGGCCCGAAGGCTTGGATCTGCCCCTGACTTGTGGTCTCTCATGTTCCCTCATCCCGTTTGGCGTCGGTGAGGAACCCTTGTTTCATCACCGAGGAAAGTGTCAATCTCCTTGAACACGATTGCCTCACAAGCACGAGCATGCACGACGTAGTCCAAACAACCACAGTCGGTTCACAAACTAATTCTGCATTTTGGAGCATCAGGAGAAAAACCCTTTACAGTAAGGTACACCGTCTCAAACTCAGGAGAGCTGTCCCTTGTGATCAAAAATCAGCATTTCTGGATTGAACTCCATTCAAAACCCCTGCACTAGAACTTTCAAAGTAAACCTTTCTTAGGCGGTATCTTTGAGGTACTCTGCCTCAAACTCAGGAGAGCTTTTCCTCGAAAGCTTGAGTGCAACAAATCCATTTCTCGATTGAACTCCATTCAAAATCCTGGACTGGGACTTTCAAAATTTCCACACACTTCTTACCCATAGTCTCCACTGAGGAGAATCCAGCTGTTCAACAAATCAGCATTTCCGGATTGACCTCCAGTCAAATCCCATATTCTCCACTAAGGAGAAAACCAGCTGCTGTCAGTTCTATCTCACCCATATTCCACATTTGATGTGGAATCAATCGTACTCGTAGTGTCACGTCAGTCGTAGTGTCACGTCAATCATTGTGCTCTCGTGAAGCACTCACCACAACAAATCTTAGCAAGCCCCACACTTCAAACGTTGCATAGGACACCAACTCACATTATTGTGTTTTTTTGAAAAAGGTGAAAAAGGGATTGCAACATGAGTCATGTCTCAATTCCTTCGACCGTTGCATCGCACAATCGTCAATCCCAAATTAAGTCAAGGGATGGGGTAAGAATCACAAGTTTTCCCGGACACCACCACCACCACCACCACCACCTCCTCCGATTCAACCAGGCCAAAAAGAACCCTACAGCCCCAAACCAACAAACCACCACCACCTCCACCTCCTCCTCATCATCATGAAATGGGCCGTTTCCACGCCACGCCACGCCTCTTCCGGGACACGACCGCTCCGCACCGTCCACCCGACCCGAGCCGAGCCGCTCCGCCCGAGCGAGGCATTTCTACGTGGCCCAGTCCAGCGACAGTGACAGCTCTCCGCTGAAGATGCCGCCCGAGCCAAAGGTCCAGGCAGGTCGGGTCCGGGGCGGGTTCGACGGAGCGGCGACGTGGCGCGGTGGCGCGGTGGCGCGGTGGCTGGCCTTGAATTGAGTGGTGTAGCAAAAAAGGCATGTTTTGGGGGGAAGGGGGGTTTTATCTTGGGGATGCCTGTTTTTTTTAATAAAGGGATGCAAGATGGATGCAAACAATGCTGCAACATTACAGCAAGATGCTGAGTTGCTGAAATTCACAAGGATTTGTTTAAGAAATCTTGAACTCTGAGCTGATGCCACACGCTCAAGTTGCGGGCGCCCAAGACTTCTCATGAAAAGCACCAAATTCCTTCCAGTCGTGGGCTTTGATGGGCGGGTTCTTATAGTCTAGCTGCCAGCAGTCCAGAGAAACGTTACAGTTCGCTCGGCAAAAAGAGACGATTCCCTTCGCTTGGCAGGTGATTCCCTCACCCGAGAAGGAAGAGATGCTCAGTAAGACTCAGCCGCTTGGCTTGCGGTGACTGCAGCAGATCGAGATTATTGAAGTTTGATGCAGATTCTGACAACACATTTGAGGTGTGCACCTATACAAACATGATCAAACCCAATAAGTAGATTATCAGATTGACCACACTTCACCAAAGAGTTAGTAGTTGGTCTTCACCGTGTTCCTTGGCTGAACATCCCACAGACTCCGTACCATGTTGCTACTGAGGATGCAAGTGCAAGGGCTCCAGGAGGATCTTGGCCGCGCTTGAGACGGACAGATATCCCTTTTGAAAGCATGAACAATAATAAACAATATAATGATTTACGTTGCATATCGACGTGGTAATTTATGTTCCATAAGGTGTCATACATCATAGAGACACGGTATTTGTATGTTTTTGCATGGTATTTGTATGGATATATCACAATTGATACATGTAAGGTCCTTTTTTTTTTCGATACTTCTCCACCTCTTCGATCCTGGATGTCGCCCAGCGGTCCCTCCCAAAGCACAGCACATGACGACGTCGGGCTCGGGAGAGGACGTAGATCTTTCTTTGAGAAGTGCAGCGAAGTCGTGAGGTGGAATTCCACACCATCCAAATCCAAATAGCCTGCTTCTATAACATCCCATGCTGATCATGCTGGATTAGATCATGTCAAGTGCTGTTTTCAAAGATGTCGTTTAGATCCACATAGATCCACCAAGTCCTTGGGAAGGTAACATGACCTTTTAAATCCTTCTAAGTTGTTTTTGAAGGCATTGCGGCATGAAAAACATGTTCAAGGGATCCCTTGAGAGGCCCACCACTTGCACTGATTCTATACCGTCTATACCGACTTTCTCTTTTAGGAGCTCATCCCATATATCACTTGGCAACCAACCTGTACCATAAAAGCCAGTAATTAACAAAGGATCCCATCCTCTTCAACCCTGAAGCAGTTGTGCTGTGCTTTTTTGGAGACACCGAGATCACGCCCCTTCACGAACCACTCGCGCACGAACGGATGGCGGCCGGACGGCGCCGGGCCCGAGGCCTTGGCGAAGAGCAAACATGGCTCCGCCAGTCTCCAAAAGCAGCCACTGGGGGCGAACAGTCCGACGGTCTGGAACAAAACGGACCGGTCCCTCCAAACGGGTCCCGGTCCCATCTTGGATGGTTTTTTTGGGACCGTCGAACTCACGAACTCACGTCGTTGAGGCCAATCAGGTGTTGCAGCCCAGCGTTGATGTGATTTGGTGTGTTTGGCGTTTCTTTCGGGGCCACGTTGGCTTTCTTTTGGAGTTCGGTCATGTGTTTTTGTGCGGTGTTTTTCTTCGTGAAGCATCATATGCGGAAGGGTATTCCACAAGGTTGACGTTGGACACAGCCAGCCTCAGACAAGAAAAACCATGACTAAAGACACAGTTTGCCAACATGCAGAAGTTATGCAGCCGAAAAGCAAGCACAAACAAACAAGCAAGCAAGCAAGCAAACCAACAAGAAAACAAACAAGCAAACAGCTGCAGACCGCTGGTTAATGCAAGCATAATATCCTCTTGAGACATTGGTGCCATGTGGATTGGTATACTGGGTCATTGAGCATGGATTGTCACACCATCCGATTGGCAGCCTATAAGGCTCAACATCATGACCGAGCAGCTGCGGAATTCCAAGCTGGAGTCTGACTCTCTCCGTGTGCAGCTGAAGGCAGCAGCTCAGTGAGCTCAGTGGGAAAGGTGACAAGGAATGACAAGGAAACACGAAGCCCAAGCCTATATGTGACAGATTTGTGCATGTGATTGTGTCTATAAATAGAACTAGGGCCACCCTGCAAACACCTCCTGCAAGAGAAGAATTGAACGAAAACCATCCAAAACTCATTGGTTGTGGGGCCTTTCTATTCTAGCATTCTAGCAACCACGCCTATCGTTGCTCACACGAATCGTGTCCTGACAGAATGGAACAGTAGACTCTCACCATCCCTTTGATTCGTGAAATTAGTCTAACATCATCTAAGTATGATGGGCCATAGATACTCCCCCAACAACAAAGCCCGGCAAAAAAATCGACCAGGTATACCTGGCCCTCTGGCTGATCTAGGCCATGTGTTTGTCAAGACAAGTTGCTTTGAGATGTCATTGTTACAAGCTGATCTTCGTCAAGGACCTCGTCGCCGATCTTCAAAACAATCGGTTTGTGTGTTTCAATCGCTTAGATTGCAAAGAACAAATCATCCGTGCTGATGTCACAACTGGACAGCTGGAACATCTCCTTATGGCCCATGTGTTTTTCACTTTCCCAAGAGATGATTTGGATTGATTTGGGCTAAAAGAATTCAGCCTCCACCTGTCTCTAAGTCTAAGTCCTTTCACCTGGTCATTCCTGCTGTTCGCCTCGTGGATCTCGGTGCCGACTTGGACGAAGGCGAGCACCGGCCCTCGACGTGACGTGCTGCGAGAGGAGCGGCCGGATTCCGGTCGCGCTCGCGAGAGACGGTCGGTCCGGTCCGGCACGGTGGGTCGGATTCAGGTCGGCACGGTCCCTCCCAGTTTGGGTGATTGGATGGAACAATAATATATATATATATAGAGAGAGACAGAAATAGTATACATAGACATAATACTGTAACATAAATCTGATTATGGTTGTAATAGACATATTATAGTACTGTAACATAATACTTGATTATGATGATGATGGTTATTGATGTTATTGGGGGTATTGGAGACGGGTCTCTTTTCAAGCACCTGAACTGGGTGGTGCTGGTCCAGGCAAGGGTTGAGTTTGGAAGTGATGGCTAAGACTAAGATTGGATGGCACAACTTCGGTCAACTTCGGCTTGGTGGTTGATGTAGATGGCCATCGGTTGAAACCTCCAGTTCTTCTGAGCCTACAGGCGCCAATACAGGTGCCCTGGAACATAAGCTTGAGCTACACGGGCTACACAGACAAACTTTTGTTGCACAAGTGAAGTGAATGCTGAATGGGTGCCTATCTTAATCCCTTCACCGCTGGGCAGACGGGTCGATTTCCCGGCTTCCGTCCGGCGAAGACCGGCACGAGACTCGAGACGGAACGTCTCACAGAAGGGGGAACATGCAGCAGTTGCAGTTTGTGGTCTTGTTGCTGTCTTTCTTTCTAAACCAAGTGACCTTGGTTTTCCTTGGAGTTGTTCCATAGTATTTGGTTGGACAATTCCAGTGATTTGATGAATTAGTTTCTCCAGAACAATGTGTGCAATATTGTGCAATATGGACTTGGAGGACAGGTGCAGCCAGGATAGCCGATGGTAGCCAGTCGTTTCTTCGGTGGTTGATAAAGACTCTAATACAACACGTGGCAATGTGGCAAGTTCCATATACAGTAATGCAGACTCTTGATTAATCAACCCCCATAAAAGGTTTTACACTCTAAATGGTCGGGGGATATGAATAAACCGTCTACAGTATTTGTTTCTCTTCCGATGGAACTCTACTCTGAATCCATCCCAGAAATCCTTGGCGAACCCAGAACTGCAAACTGCGACTACTTATACCTGGTATAGGACATATCTCCCTGCTAGGAAGAGTCCATCGTTTTGTACCAACACAGCCATTAAGAATGACCTCAAACATACATTCTAGCATTTCTTTAGACAGGAAGATGGTCTTGCCTTGTCCCATGCCATTTGGCCATCCTGAAGGGAATCACAGTAAATTTATGGCAATCAGATAGCTTGGACCATTTCTGCATGGAACCATCCTTTGAGTTGCAGGATACCATGATCCCTGAAGCAGCCGGGACATCTGAATCGGCAGCTCTCCTCTTCTTGCAGCACCTTGGCCATTTTTCTGCCTCTCAGACCCTCCATGTTAGTGGGGGACAGTGTCCGTCAGCGGACAGTGTGGGAGCCATCTACTGCTGGTCATGGCATTTGGAGCCCCGTTCATGGTAGATGGACATCTGTTCAGACCCGCAGTCAACCAGGGCGGCGTCCCTGGTTGGGCCTCCGGGGTTTGGACCCACAGAACCCAAACATCCACGTCGAGACGTGGTGAAGGATCGAAGGGATCGTAGGAGCGGCATCTTCTGTGACCCGAAAACGGCAGGAGGAGCATGTGGACTGCCAAAAGACACTGGGTTGTAGAGGAAAAAATGGTCTAACCCCACCGTGAAGAGAACGAAACAACGCAGGGTCCATGGGATCCTTTTGCGGAGTGAAATGACCCTGTTGGGAAGCATGAGTGTTTTGGTGCTTTTTGGCGTGTTGGGTTGTTTCCTCTTAAGGTGAGGACTGCTTATTCTCCAAGTTGGGACACCTGTGCATGATGCTGAGAAGTATAGGTATAGGGAGTATGTATGAGTGAAAGTGAGTATGTTAGGTGCTTGACAAGCAAATCCGTTGGCTATAGGCTATTGGTTTGTTTTTGAAAAGAATTCTCACAGGTGCATTTGCACAAACGCCCCAGAAAGGGGTCCTTTGAGTCGTTCTGCTTGATGGCAGAATGGCAGGTGGCAGAATGCGCATCTTCATTCGGACTGCCGTCACTACCAAACTGCCCTGAGCAATACACAAGCGGAGCTGCAGATCCTGGGACTTCTGATGACAGAGAGAGAGAGGGAGGGAGGGAGGGAGGGAGGGAGGGAGAGAGTGACTGGTGCGACTTGGAGGGAATGAGGGTGGCTGGATCCAAAGGAATCTATATATATATGGCTGCGGAGTTTGGGGAGTTGCTGATCGATCGAATCCCGTCTTTGATACGGTTCCAGGATGGCTTCCAATTTTTGGCAGACTTTGCTAGGTGAGGTACATAATTGGGAAAGATCCGGAGGTACATCATTCATCATAATTCAATCAATCTATTCAGCTCAGAATCTCTTGAGCCTTTGCTCGTTCTAGTTGATGTCGCTCCACTGAAAAAAAAACAGCCTCAGCCCCCCAAAAGAAAGGGGTGCCCTTTTTGCACATCTGCCTTTGTGAAGCATCAGGTCCGGGTTCTGAAAAGCAGAAACTCCTGCACCATCCTTGCACCCCTCCCACAGCCTGAAGCGTTCCTTGCGAATGAGCCCCACTCCCCAGTGTTCACGCACTACTCGACACATCGCACTCGCAGGTCGCAGATCACGGCGTCTCAACTCATGGAGTCCAAGTATAGTTTGCTACAAGCTCGTGTGGAGCACTTGGAGCTGGACCTCAGCTTCAAGGCCATCGCCTCCCCATTGGGTGATAGCCTCCATAGTCAAAACGGCCCGCCCCGGTCGAACCCGGCGAAGCGCGTTTCGCTTCGTTCGGTTCCGCGTCCAGGGCCGGAAGGAAGGTCCGCAGGTCTCGAGCGTCCAGGTCCCCGTTTCGCCCCAGTCACGGCGAAGTGTCCGGTCGAATGGGGGTTGTCACGCATCCTTCTACCGTGAGGAATCCGTGAAGCTGCAGGGTTTTTACGTGGATTGAAAAGGATTGAAGACGATGACATGGTGAGGACAAGAAATCATCGGTGTTTGATTCAATTCATGGATTCGGGGTGCTGCAGGCTATCCCTCCATGTGTTGTTGTTGTTGTTGTTGGTTGTTGGTGTTGGTGTTGGTGTTGGTGGTGTTGTTGTTGTTCTTGTTCTTGTTGTTGTTGTTGTTGCTGCTGTTGTTGTTGTTGTTGTATGTTTTTTGTGCTCTTGTAAATGCATTGTCCATTCGTGCATTTTTTGTTGGCTTAGCTGTTTGAGTTTAGATGAGGTGTAGTTGTGTGGCGCAGTGCCAGCAGACAGATCACATTCTCAATCAAGGGCGCAGAAACAACAAGTGTGTATTTGATCTTACATAGCCAGCATCGTGAAACCGCCGGTGTTTGGGATTTTCATCATTCATGCTACAAGGGTGTTAACTTATTACAGATTGTTTTTTGGATGTACACTGTATATGTTTCTAGAATTTTCTAGATGGTCATGTAGTGTGTGTTTGATGTGTTTTGGATCTTTTCAGTTTTTCTCAGCTTGATGATGCTTCATTCCAGTTAGCCCAGTGGTTTCAGCTGTGTAAACTAGAACCACCGACCACCGAAACACGTCCGTTTATGCAACACGTCCGTTGCAGGCGGCCTTTGGAAGCAACGTGCAACTTGACCAGAGGAGACCTAAACGTTGACGACCGGTGGGTGGTACTGTAGCCTTGAACCAAGTGCAGTGCAAGGGGCAGTGCAAGCAGTAGCCTTCGGAGGATTCCGGAGTGGCAAGCAGCTTAGCACTGTGACATGCAGCAAAATGCTGAAGGCCCGAGGAGAAAAGCAGGACTGCAGTATTCTCCATGTCAGTTCTGGCAAGAAGGTCTTTTTGGCGCATCAACGGCAAGGGTCAAGACTGAAGCTAGCTCAACTTTGTGGTGGATGGACAGTTTTTATTTGACACCCGTCTCCAATTCCCTTTCGTCTCCATCCTATTGAACACTTCTCACCGCCACATTGGAAACCCCAAAAACTGGCCTTGTCATCCAAGCTTCCGGCCGTTGGAAGTGAAGGAATCTACATGGTCCCAAGCCCAGGACCTTCAGTTCGTGACCCCTATGGAGTCTCCAAGTGACCTGTTTAGGGACGGAATGACCTCATCCCGTTATCTCAAGTTCGGTCACTTTGAAGGTCCGGACATCAAAGTTTGTCAAAGGTAGTTTCTTGGAGAAAGGGGTACCAGTGAAAGTATGGTCCATCCACTCTTGTGTTCAATCACTATCTTGAGCGAGGGTTGGATGGAAAACAAACATACACAGACCAAAGTAGAATATGCCCGATTTGTTTGTGTTTTGCTTGTGAGTTACCAAGTGTTTACTGGCTGTCGGTTTTTGTTTTCACCGGCTGTCGTTTTCACCTCAAAGTCCCCATTGACAGTGACATAATTTAAGGTTTGATGAATTAATATATATAATCATTAATGATTTCAATATAATTTGAATGTAAGTTATATAAACATTGGTACTAAGGCTCTGTGACTCCAACTTCTTTTTGCGCTTCACAGAGCTGTATGGTCTGGCCAGCCTACCAGTGACTCCAAGAAACAACCACCACACCAAAAAAGATGCTGTTTGTTCCAACCCTTCTGGTGTTCCCTTCTCCAGCCTCCTCCTTCTGCTCCTCCCCCGGCTTCTCGGTTACGCCGCGTCCTCCGCGTCCTCCGCGCGTCCTCTCCGCGTCCTCTCCGCACCAAGGCGCGGCGTGGGCGACGAGGCGGTGCTCGGCATGAGCACCACCAGTGCGCCTTCGGAGACGGGGTGCTTTGGGTCGCAGCAGGGAGAAGCCTCTTCGGCTGGGCGGGCGGCTGGACGCTGTGGGTTGGGTCGGGAAGGTGTGTGATGGTGTGTGTGTGTGTGTGTCCACACCTGTGTGAAAGGACACTTTTCCGTGCACGATAATTTCAGCTTTGAAGTTTGTTCAGAGGCAGGGGAGTGGTGCGCGGTCT